TATTTTTATGGGAAATGCAATTTTGGTGGTGAGGATGGAGCACACATTTCTTAATGAGTTTCCTATTCCATCTCTCTGGTTTTCACTAAATTTCAGATTGTAAACATTTTTTTTTGTTTTGTTTTTATGTTTTCCTGATCAGGAATCAGGGGGCACTGCACAGAGAATGAGGACAACACATTCAGGTGACAGGAATCAACATGTGATCAATGAAATGTACAGGAAGCACCTGGGACCAGAGGCTGTGCTGAGTTAGGACAAACAGTAATAATTTCCATAGCATGCTCATGGTCTTCGGTCATGGTCTCCTGTCCATTCTGGAAGCAGCAGGATGAGAAGAAAGTGGTGTGTGTGTTGACACCTGGGTGGATAGGGCCCTGGGTCTGATGGGGACCAGGGTCAACTCTATGTCTCACATGCATCAGCCTGGACTTCCTGGGCCAGGGGCTCACATCCCACCTCTGCCCTGTGACTCTGAGGAAGTATGAAATTATGACAGAAAGGAAATTCATGGGAATTTGAAGAACCAGGGTGATGTGACAATCACAAGGGGTCTCAAAGTTATTTCCAGTTCAAAGACCCAGGCCTGAGACACAGGAGGAACCTCTGTGCCATGATTGCTGGAGATGGGGCCAAAGCTCATGTGGATGTTTTAGTTCCAAGGACATCAGGCAGGAGGGTCCCATTGGTCCCCTGTAGGCATTCGATTATAATGCAGGGAACCTCCCCCACATTATGGGAGGTAATCTTTCTCATGAAGTCCACTGATTATAAACAGCCTCACAGAAATCCCCAGATAATGTCAGGGTACACAAACCCTATCAAATGGGTCTCAAGTTAAGTGTTACAAAATGCTCCTATCCCACCCTCTCAACATACTCAGACAACCCTCACTCCCCTCATCCTCAATAGAGCCTTCAAAAACTAACACTAGGTGATGTATCTGCTGAATGAGGACTCAGGGGAAATGGCTGATGAACCTCAGAGGGAGAACTTATCAAGTGTGTCAACAATGAAGGACACAGAAAAACTCCAGAGATATCCCTAGGTTGACACCTTAAACCTCATGGGGAAATGTGAACTCCACACCTTTGAGAACAGCTCCAGGGCAGGATGTCTAAATCAGGACTCTCAGACCCCCCAGAAGCTGCAATAATTGGAAGGACACAGCTGACTCACCACCCTTGACACAATGAGGAAAATCTCAGATAGTAGAAATTGACACTCAAGGTGTCCCAACAAGACCCCCATCAATCCCTGGTCTGCTCGCTCATAATCCTGGATTGCTCTTCCCCACAAGTACATGACAAGCTCCTATCCCCTTGTCATTACAATTGTTAGGTGGATTTAGGTTTCTGAGCAAGGTTTTGATGCTGGGCATCTGGGAGATTTTGAGCCTCACCATCTTCATCCATGCCTGCCCTGATCTGGACATGCTGATAAGAAATCCTGGCAGATAATTCCTTTTTCCCTGGTGGGGCAATCAATTCCCCCAAGTCCCTACCCAACATGAGAACCTTCAGCAGCCCTCACCCTGCAACAACAACAAACCCTGAGTCAGCCTACTGTCCTGGCTCTCACAAGGCACTTCACTGCCACCAGAGGTGCCTGCCTGGTCCTCCCAAGACCTTGATCATGTAGAACTGAGCTCCATCTGATCACTTGGGGTGTGGGCATCATCAGACCCAAGATCTGAAGATACTTTGGGTGGGAGTCCCTCCAAGTTTGCACAGGGTCTGCAGCCATAGGCACTTTTTTTTTACTTTGTTGGTGTAACAGGGTGCAGCCAAGAGGGGGGCTCCAAATAGGGATTTGGAATGGGGCCCAAAAGTCAGGATGTCCAGGAAATATTAGAGAGACATATAAGATGTCCTTACCCTTCCCTCTTCAAGTGTGGGTTGGGGGAAGGGACACATGGAGCAGGGCCATTGAGAGCTGTTTTGCATAGCAACAACTTTGCACCTAACCTCTATTGTGGTCATTTAACATATTTATAACCCTTAAATGGTTACATAGATATGTTAAATAGCTGTGGACATGCTCTGAGCCAGGGGAATGGAAGTAACTTCACCACCAAGACATATATGGGGGTGCAGGTCTCCCTGGTTACAGCACCTGTGTGTGAGCTTGGAGATGATTGCCTCCATGACATGGGGTCATACCTGCCAAGGATCACGATGGCAGCCCAGTAAAACTGGAAGGATATGAGAATGCTGGCAAGTGTAGCCAACTGTAGGAGGAGTCAGAAATGAGGCTGCAGAGGTTTGGCACAGAGATTTAAACCAAGATGTGGCAGCCATTGAAGAGAGAGACTTGGCAGCCATTGGAGAGAGGACCGCAGCCAGTGCAGGAGGGAGAACCACTTGGTCTTTAGCAGACTGGGGGCTCCCACAGCCCTGTGAGAGAGAATCACCATGCATCTTTAGCAGAGAACCACTACTCAGCTCTGGCAGAGTGGGGACTCCCACAGCCATTGTGCAGAGAGGACCGAGTGGTTGTGGCATTGCAGAGAACCAAGTGGCTGTGGCAATAGAAAGGAGAGCCATGCAGCTTTGCCAGAGTCGGGACCCCCACAGCTTTAGAAGGAGGAATGACCACCCAGCTTTATCAGAGATCCCGGCAACACAGCTGAGGGTGCTGGGAACTGAGGGAGGCCTACCAGCTGAGACTGATTACTGGGAAGAACCAGAGGCTACCTGAGCCACAGACTTCTATTTCTTTTCCTGATATATGGCACCCCAGACTGGGCAAAGGGAGGAAGGAAGGACTGTGTGTGTTTGTGGGTGTTTTAAGGGACTTTTGAATTTATATGAAGACAACTAAGTCTGTATAGCATTAAATAAACATTCCCTTTCCTTTTTAAAAATATCTGGCATTGAGAGATGTCTTTGTTATAAGGTGGCAGACATAACAAACCTGGGGGGTTGCTTTTGGTAATAGCATATCACCCTTTGACCCCCTGTCTGTTCTGTAACATTAGGACAATGGCCAGCACCACTGAGCATTTTTTAATCCATCAGGACTGACCACTGATCTGAGAACTGATGGCCAGTGAACCCTGGGAGCTGATGTTTACTGCTGAGTTGTCTTTCCAGTAGGTGTCCAGATCCCAATTCTGGAGAAGATGCAGAAGCAGATCTCAGATGATGTGGAAACCCCAGACTACCACAGCAACTCAAGGCTGACACTGACTTCCCCTCACTGTGTCTCTTGTCCCATAAAACACAGCCATGTCCTTGGTGGTCTGGGAGCTCAGCTGCAGGAAGAACTGGTTACTGGACATACCAGTACCAGTGCTGCCTATGGGAGCACTGATGGCGATGTGACCCTGGAAAGCTGGGTTGTATCTTGTGCTCCCTGTCCAGTACCCCATCTATGCCAGCCTCTCCCTTAGGGACTGCCATATCCAATCCAGTACTTAATGCTGGTGACTGACCCTGCAGACACAGCTCAGATGAGGGAGAAGGTCTGCAAGTCCTTCACCAGGCCTGCGCCTGACTCCTTCAGCTCTACCAAGGATAGGACACCTGAGTACAACAGGCCTACTTCCCTGTCAGTCACATGCAGTTACCACCATTCCAGAGACCTGTGTATGACATCTGAGAAACCCAAACTGTGGGCTGTCACCAGGTGCAAGAAACACAGCTGCCTCATCTTCTCTAGGGAACAGTTCTGCCTTCCCCTGAGACCTCAGCTTCATGTGAGGAGAGAGCTGTGAGCACCCACTGCCCATGGGAGGATTTACCCTTGAGTAGGACAGAAAGTTGTATTTGGGAGAGTTCTTTCTTATAAGTAAAGAAGGACTGTGGCAGTGTTCCCTCTAGGAATTTCTTCTTGTGCCCACAGATCTTGTGTGAGCTGGGATTAGAGGACCTTAGGGTTGTGTGGCTCATTGCAGTAAGGTCATAGGATTGCTCCATCTTTCTGGGTGTAAGAAGGGAATTAGAATCTCATCTATGTTGGGGGCATATCACAACTTATTAGCTTTATTTTGGACATATTTCTAAACACAAGCATAAAACATACATAATTAAGAAGATCTTAAAATAATAAGTTTATGTTTATAATATGTTGATTTCAAGTTAATGTAAATATGGCTCCAACATATAGGAGAGTTTCTCCAAAGACCCGATTTTCTCTAACTCAACCACATATGACCACATTTATATGAGTGACTACAAAGCCTGGACAGCCTGGAGCTACTTGGTCCTTGCTGTGTGAGTCTTGTATTTATGTTCAAGGCCCTTTGAGCTAACTCTCCCTTAAGGCACGGAGGCTTACAGCAGAGGACCCTCACAACTTACATCAGATAAGAGCACACTTTTTATGCAGAAGAGCCAAAAAAGCAGCCACTACAACTCTCTATGATGCAGTGCCAACCAATTTGGAAGGGAAGATGTGGGCAGAGTCATGGTTAAGCCAGGTTCTCAGATTCTGGTACAAAGGGTTCAGTGTGTTCAGAGGCAGCAGAAAGTGGAGGAACCTGTCCATAGCTTTGCTCAGAGGGAAGGTCATTAGAAATTCAAAGGAATGCTCTCCATCTCCATCCTTTCTGGAAGGGCTTGGCCCTATGGCCAGAAAGCCCTGGTCTCTTGTAGTACATGGAAAGACCTTTATATTCAGGATACAATATTTTCAGATATAGCATTGCAATATGCTCTGTAGTCTATACTTGCCTTTTTATATTCCTAGCAGTAATTTCATAGAAAAAAAGGATTTCGAGTTTAATTAAATTTTATTCACCAATGTTTTATCTCAATGTTTTATCTTAACGTTCACCAGACAGCTCATTCTCATAGCCAGTATGTTCTGTATTTCCCTGTCATTTTTATGCAGGTGCTGATGCAGGACCAGCGGAGCCAGAAAAGTGGCCCTGGGATATCAGTCTGTGGACCATTGTCACTGTAGTTTTCCACTGCCTCCTCTGGTGTCCTCAGGGCCCCCTTCAACCCAGCCCTCCTATCTCCTGATGGGAGGTTTGTGTCTGGGCTCATACTTACTTCCTCTCACTGTGTCTCTGGTGCAGTAATACACAGCTGTGTCCTCGGTGACCACAGAGCTCAGCTGCAAGGAGAATTGGTTCTTGGACGTGTCTCTAGAGATTGAGGTGCGGCTCTTGAGGGATGGGCTGTAGTAGGTGTTCTCATCACTACATATGCGCCCGATCCACTCCAGCCCCTTCCCTGGGGGCTGGCGGATCCAGTTCCAGCAGTAACCACTGGTGATGGAGTAACCATACACAGCACAGGTAAGGGAGAGTGTCTGTGAGGGCTTCAACAGTTCTGTGCCCCACTCTTGCAGTTGCACCTGGGTCAGGACACCTGGGGACAAAGAGCATCAGTCTGTGTCAGTGATGCACACTCACCACTACCCCACTGACCTTTGTCTGACACTTGAGACACTCACCCTGGGTGGCAATCACCCAACACAGGAGATGACCCAGCAGTTTCATCTTCTCATGCACAGTTCTGTCTTCCACTGAGACCTCAGCCCCACGTAGGGAGAAAGCTGCAAGTCCCACAGCCCAGGGGAGGATTTACCCTGGGGATGGAAGAGAAATTTGCATGTGGGGCAGCCTTTCCTATAAAGTGGGGAGGGACTTAGGTCAGGCACCCTTGTCATTCTGGAACCTCTGTAGGGACATCTCTTCTCATGAACTCACTCACCATGTGCCTCAGGGAAAAGGGATTCCCATGGCCCTGCATATGGCCCAAATCCCACTGCACTTCTACAGCTCAATGAATGACAAATGGACACTGTGATGATTTTCATGGAAATTCACTCCAGGTCTCCCTTATCTGCTGTACCTATCACTTGGAAAGTTCCACAATGGGCTCTATGTCATTTTGTGCCTTTCTAGGTGAGGTCATCTCTGTATGTGTCTCCCAAAGTTTTTTTGTCTATTCTTGGTGCTCCATCCATATGGTTACCTTCCCTTCTGACCATGCACCCCATGGGCCTCAGACTGGACATCCAATTGGGTGACAGACTCACTGCTCAGTGACCCAAAGCTACACTAGTCAGTCTCTGAAAGAATGACCATCTCCTCCTGCATTACGGGTTTCCTGTTCAGCCATCATGGACTTCCTCACACTGATCAAGCCACCAGGGGTAGAAATCAGTCACTACTGGTCGTTACTCAGGCTCCTTTTCAAAAGTGATATTCTCCAGGGCTGGTCATGGAGGAACTATGGTGGTGTTTTCAATGGTCCTTTCATGCCATGACCATGCAAGGCACAGGGAATTCCCTTGCCTGCACAAGGGATATTAAGTAATAGCTTTGTGAATTAACATGACATGAATTAATGTGATCCTCCTGTTTGTTCACTGAATGCATCTTGAAATTTACCTTTATAGGGAATCAATGCTTATATTACAGTCAGTGAGGTGCCCCCAAAGCCTAGGAGCTGTGGTTTTGGTCAGCAGAGGCAGGAGTGTTGCTGCAATAATCCATCTTCACCTGAAGGCTGAAGACCAGGGTGCCCAGGGCAGAAGATCTCTGTCTAAGCTATAGAATCCAGCTCACAGGAAGTAAGGGGTTAATTTTCCCTCTTCAGTTTGTGTCAGTCAGTACCTTGGTGGAGGGGATAGTGCCCATCCTCACTAGGTTAAAAACAAAACAAAACAAAACAAAACTGCTTTTCTGAGCCACCATTTTAAAGGTAAGTTCACCTGTAAACACATTTGGAGAAACCCATGAATGACTATTAGCCAAATACTTAGGCATCTTGTGATCTAGTCAAACTAACACAAAAACAACAGTCAGAGCAGAGCTGCTTAGTGGAAGAATTTCAAGGCAGGGAAAATACGCATCTGCCCAATGCACATAGATAAAGGTCAGCAAACTACTTTAGACTGGTTGTAGTGAATGCTTTCTTAGATATCTACATGTTGAATGTCAGGTGAAGAGGAAGCTCCCTGACGGAGGATTACATAGGAGTCACTGAACTTGAATCCAGAACATTTGCGGGAGAGTCTCACAGACCCTCCAGGCTGCATCCTGTCTGCCCACCAGACTCCACCAACTGCCCCTCACATCAGGCACCTGAAGAAGACAAGAGATTTTCATTAGCAGTGGGCACACACACACAGAATGCCCCAGGTTCTCTGTAATGTTATCATGCAAAAGCATGAAAGCAAGTGCCCAGCTCAGCTCAAACTTCATGGTGCTACCTCTGGTTTAACAGCTTCAGTGAGTGCTAACTGCAGAGACCTGGGGGTTGGAACTGATCTCCCTGAGGTGCAGGGGCAGCCTCAAGTCTCAGTTTATTTGCACATATTGATGTCCATTTGCATGCAATGTCCCCTTAGTGACAGAAATGTCCCTGAATGATGGTCCTGACTTGACATGAGGGGAAAACACACTGATTCTGACAGTGAAGGCTTTTTATAAGGGACTGATTAGTCCCTGTGCTGTAGAGTTACTATCGTTTTTGCTAAATTCTACCACTGGTCAGTTTAACACAATTTAATCCACAGTGATATTACACATGCACAGTGTTTCATGCTATTCAGCTCAGCATAAATTCTTTGTATGGCATTGTCCATGTGTTGACACACAGAGTGAGGTCCATCCCCATTGTCAGCCTCCCTGGCTGAGGGCAGTGGGCACTGCAAGAGCTGATCTCTTGTTCTTTCAAGACAGAATCCTTTCCCGTTGTGCACCTGTTCACTGGGTGTCCATCATTGTGGAGAAAGAGTGGGAAGAAGGGACAGACACATGTACAGCCTTTTACCTGCCCTGGACACCCTCTCTCCTCAGCCTCTTCAGCCTCCTCCACTAATCACTTAACAATGGTCACATCAAGTGACTGAGGTGCACACAGCACATTAATAATTATTCAGGTAGGTGTGACTGTAATCTAAATACCATGTTGTCATTATTACATACAATCTCTGGGAAGTTTGAAAAGTGTCATTCTTAGTTAAAATCATAAACCCTACATAAACCAACAGTCCCACTTGGTCAATGCTACACCCAAGTGGCATTCATGTCCTCACCTTCAAGTGCACATCAGTCACTTCTTTGTGACCTGGTGACTGGAAGAATCATACATTCATGAATTTTACCTTCAGTGAAATGTGGGCCTCCTTCCATGCTGAGATTGTAAATGCTGAAAGGTTCACAGATACAACCAACTTCTAACATTGCCTTCTCACTATATCTATTTAAGAGCCTTCCATGACTTTCAACCAGGGACTATTGCCTATAAGAACACCAAAGAAAAACCACCCTTGAACATCACTGGAAGGGCACTGATGCCTTACTTTTAACAACACATATATGGCAGCAAATCTCCAAATCTCCAGAAAGGCAGCCTTTGTGGTCATGTCATTCTACAACTTTACTACATTCTTGGTGCTGTAAAAATCTATTGTGACCTGGGTCATTGGCCAATAAATTTATTTATAAATAATCTGGAGGTGGGAGATTCAATAACAACTGCTGGCAGATTGATGTCAGTCACAGAAGAGATTCCTATATGACTGTTTGCTCACTGTAATCTCAGAGGGTGGCTGGGGTGAGGGAGCTTCCTCTGTCCTCTCTTACAAAGGACACAATCACATTCATGACAGCTCCACCCCAGGACCATCACGTGTCCCAAGGCCCGATGACCTAACTCTATCACATGAGCTTCAGGTTTTAATAACCTCAGAGCTTTGGAGTGACACCAACACAGGCTCAAAGCAACAACAATATAATCAAATCATGCTTCCACACAATTGGAAGGCTACTTCAGGAGTGACCCCCAAACTGAGGATCCCCATAAATCTGTGGATGCTTCTCATCTTAGGAAGCAGAAAGTGGACACAAGACATTCAGAATAAGCTGATATCCCTGAAGATTGAACAGATTCAAGTCTACACTTTGAACAAACATGTTTATATAAATTTACTATTTCCCCCTTTATTGCATACCTATGATTGCTATTCTTGTTTTCTATGGACTAAATTTGTTCTCCAATCCATAATTACAGGTGGCTCTGTGTTCTCACTCATGTTTCCTAGGTGCTCAGTGAAATAAGGACCCAGGCTCTAGTGTTTGATGTCTGATGGTGACATGATGAGGTTCAACCCTCTCTCCTCCTGTCCACACGTGGGAAATCTGATGTGGAAGTGGGGATTCTCTTTAGTTTGATGCAGGTGGGAGATGGAAACCACACAAATCCTATCATGAGCAGGACCCTCCTCTGGGATGAACAAAAAAACCTGGACCAGACTTCTTATCTGATGTGATGCAACCATTCCTGACCTGCTGAAAAGTCTGCCCTGCTCTCAGTAGACTCCTCAATGAAGGGAAGAAAACATTCTCACAGTCCCTCTGCGTGTGGCATCATCACCCTGGACATTCACACCATGGTATGGTGGTGTCCCTCTATGTCCACATGATGTCAACTGCTACTGATGTCATGGATGTGGAATTAAGTCAATGACCTATCACCCCTGATTTCTTCCCCTCTGGGACTGGGTTCCTACAACTCTGGAGTCCACTGTCCAGCATGTCTCCTGCTACTGCCTGAATTGGACTCTGAGCTGTGTGGGGCTGGACTCCTTGTTGGGTCCAGCAGAGCCTCTGGTTGGATTCAGCTGATTTGGGTCAGGAGGTTTGATAACTCATTAGGGTAGGGATCAGCAAATGTATGTGACCCTCTCACTTTGGAGCATGTGATAATGTTCTCCTCTGGGAACAACAGGCCTCTGTAATTCAGATACTGAAGAGGTCAGCACAGAAACATGAAGAGAATGAGGCTCCCAGAGGGAAATTGCTGAGTGGAGAATCAACCCCACACCTGCCAGGAAACCAGACCTTAAACTGCATCTGCAGTTGCCCCCAAGCTGATGATTGTGCTCAATGTGCCCTCAGTGCCCCCTGGTGTCCTGAGTGCCCCCTGCAGCTCAACACTTGTGTCTCCCTCAAGGAGGTTTGTATCTGGAATCACACTGACTTCCTCTCACTGTGTCTCTCGCACAGTAATACACAGCCCTGTCCTTGGC